TAAGAGTTAATTTAGGTTTTAATTTAATTTGAAAAGAAAAGGAAATTGGAAATTGAAAAGAAAAGAAAAAGAATCAAAAGAAAGGCTGTGATTTTGGGCCAATTCGTCACAGCCCAATTGAATTTCCCCAAAACTGTTCAGATCTGGCCCAAAACCCACGCCCCATACCCTGTCCAAACCATCCGGTCTTTAGGCAATTCAAACGACGTAGTATGGGGCCAATACTACGTCGTTTGGAGTTCGTTTGTTTTAAGTCAATCCTAGCCTTCCGTCTCATCTCATCCAACAGCCAGAAACACTTCCCCCATTTTCATTTATAACTGTCCCAATGCCATCAGATTAAACCTAAGATCAAACTCATCTCTTCAGTCTCTCTCATCTCTTCACCTGAACCCTTGCGCCGCCCTAAAAAACTTCCACCATTTCCACCGGCAACAGACCTCCAAACCGTCTCAAATTTTGACCACACAACCATCACCCAACCCCAAGTCCCAAACCACCGATATATCTCCCTAAAACCTCACCAAATCTAATCAGTTCCTGATCTAAAAAAAGAAGAAGGAAAAGAAAATCTTCCAAATCTCTGAGTTTTCCTTGAACGATTATGGTTAAAATTGGTGTTATTCGTCAGTTTTCAACGAGAACACATGATTAATGTCAATTTCGGCTCAAAATTGAAGGCGTTGGAGGTCCAATCAAGTCCGCTGTCAACCCGCATATTCTAGGTATTTTCCGGCCATGTTTCTTTCTTTTGTCTTTCACTTTATTCTCATCTTCATCTCCTTCTGATTCTTTCTTTTTCTTTCTTGTTTTTTTTTGTTTTCAATCGTCTTTATGTATGTTAATTTCAAGTTTACGTTAGTCAACATGTCTTAGTTCTTTTGAGTTTATTGTTTGATTTTTGCTCAAATTTCCTTCTACTTTTGTCTTCTTTGGAATCAGGGCTTCAGGAGTTTTCTATAACTCTGTTGGCCCAGTTTCTTGATTGGTTTTCTGTTGGTTTTGAAATTAAACTTGGGCTCTATCAGTCAGAAGCCCAAAGATGGAAAGATCAATCCGGGTTCGCAAGCCCAGGGTCTGTGGTTTGATTTTTGGGTCTACTTGACCCATGTTTGGTTCTTGAGAGTAATTAACAGGAGCCTAAAGGGTAGTTTAGGGAATTTAAAAAGGAAAATCTTCATTAACTGATTGGGAAGCTTCCAGGAAAGTGGGGAAATGGGCTAGTTTAACAAATGGGTTAAAATTTGGGGTTTGAAATAAAAGAATGAAAAATCAGGGAAGGGGTAAATGGAAAAGCTTAAAATCAATTTTGTTGCCCTAGAATTTGTCTATAAAATGCCCATTTCCTGCATTTGATAGGCAGAGATTAGGGTACTAAAAATTGGAAACGGTTGAAAGAGTTCGAGCCTCTTTTTCTCTACATTAAACTTCTGAAAAGCCTTTGATATTCTAAAAAAATACTGAAAAACAATCCTGCATCCTTTAGTTGACATTGATCTGGGTCTTGTTCTTCAATTTCGATTGCTAGTCAGATTTTAAAAGTTCCAAGAGACTTTTGTGCTTCTGGGTTTTAGAAATGGTTTAAAGTGAGCTGAAGGTTGTTATTGAGGAGCTGATCTTTGTTGTTGCTGGAATCCTTATTCTCCTTGCTTTATTTTGATTTTCATGTATGCTTTGGGCCCTGAATGACATGCTGAATTGCCAATATGTAGTCCAATATGGAAATCTAATAATAATTATTACATGTTGAATCCTCAGTCTTTTGTTTCTTTAAGTTCAGCCTGTTGTAATAATTTAGATTTTTTATGTTCATGTGCATCACTGATTCGAATCTTGTGTATAAGTTGGGCTCAGTACTATACTCTGGTAGTTTGGTTGTGAGTGAGTTAAAGCTCTATTTGTTAGACATGAAGAATGCTTGATTTCTTGTAGCATGAGTCCAAGTTAGAATGAATATTTCTCTTTTGGTTTATTTAAGCCTATCAAAATCAGTGTGAGATTTTCAGATTCAGGGGTTAGTCATAGGACAATTTCTGGTTTCTTATAAAGTTTGACTCGAGCATGTTGTTCTTGAAGGGTTATAGGTTGAGTGATAAATTTTTATTTTGATAAGTGTCGACTATTCCCAGTTGTGAGCATTTCCATTGTTGTTTATTAGGTTGTAATCGAGGTTGAACCTCACACATTATGTTTATAATTTAGCTTGGGTAAAAATTGGGATTGGGATGCTGCTTCATATGACTTATACAGTTAAATTCAAGTAATTGTTTATTTTATATAGGTAATATGATTATTTGGGTCTTGTATCATTTGGGGCTTTGTATATCAATTCATGCATGTTGATCATAGTTAAAGAGCTCAGTTCGATTCCTTGGGCTGCAGATGTTTCCTCTGTTCTGTGGGGACTCGATGCTGAGTCTCATACCCCTTAAACATTTATTCTTTATCATATTTAGCCTATCTTGAGCTTGGGATGTGAGGCCTTTTGGAAATGGGGAAATTATTTGCTTTACTGCGGCCTGCTGTCGAGCCCAAAACCATCACTTAAATGTTGTTGCCCACTACGTCTATAACAGGCGTAGCCCGAACGCCTAAAAGCCCAGCACGCCCTTTAAATTAATAGTTGTGCAAATAAAACTTTAGATTTCGTTTGGTTAGATTAATTCTTTTAATTATAGTGAGGTGTGTCATAGTAAACAAGACTTAATATTTATGGCCCTCAATAGACTAGATCAAGAAATTATTTTAAGAGAGAGATTTGAGGCGTGCCATAGGCCAATTAAATCATTTATGGCCAACACTATAGGCGCGTTAATTATATAATTATTACAACTATTTCTAAAACCCGGGGGTACATTTCATGTGGCCCGGTTCTAATTTCCAACAAGGCTAAATAGAACGTATCGTGAATCACGGGTGTATTTCATGTAGCGTAGCTTACAATATGTTTTAAATGACCTTAAATTAATTTTTAAATAAATAAAAGCAGTTTTAAAGCTAAAAAGGCACATAGGTTTAAAAGTGTTTAAAATCAGATAATTAGGCCAATAATAACAGTTGAGCGACCGTGCTAAAACTACGGAATTCGAAAATGCCTAACAACTTCTCTCGGGTTAACAAAATTCCTTATCCGGATTTCTGTGTTCGCGAACTGTAAAACAGAGTCAATCTTTCCTCGATTCGGAATTTAAACCGGTGACTTGGGACACCATAAATTATCCCAAGTGGCGACTATGATTCTTAAATAAATAATCATGTTTCGATTGTCACTTAAATTGAAAAAAACTCCCTTATACCCCTTCCGGGTGTGGTAAAAGGGAGGTGTGACAATTACTACATCATTATCTTTTGCATTCTTGCCTTTGATATTCTATGTATTTCTTAATTTCATAGATAATCATAAATAAGTAGGATTAAAAAGTTTTTTTATTGATTTTGAAATTAACAACTTTGTAAAGATTCTCGAATTTGTATTTATAAATAATGACCAGCAGTTTGGGAAGAAAAACGTGTTCACAAAAAAGGCCGGATATTCAAATGGGGTGCTGTCAATTAAGCATCTCAGCAGCTCGGCTGACATTAGGATATGTTATTCTATTATATGAATATTTGTTAACTTCGAATTTAATTAACTTTTTTGAATTTTAATAATGGAAGTGTATACAATTTAAATCAGTTCGATAATAATCAACTCCATGTACTTATTTAGAGATTATTGACGGGGTATTAGAAATAGTATAGTACATATCTAGAAATCCGCATTTTTGCAACTACCGAGGGATTGAAAAGGACAATATAAATCAGCACTAGGGTGGAATTTCTAAGTGAGCGTTTGGACATAAGAATTATAAAATTTCGAAAAAAGTATAAATAAAAAAATAAAGTAAAAATAATATTTAAAAATTAGAGTTGTGTTTGGACATTAATATAATTTAGAGTTATTTTTGAATTTTTATGAGTTGTTTGAAGTGAAAATTTTGAAAAATAGTTTTTTGGAGTTTTTTAAATTTATGAAAATTCTGAAATTCAATTTCAAGTGAAATTTAAAATTTTGATAGCCAAACACTAAAATAATAATTTTTTTTATGACCAAACGGGCCCTAAGCATTGCATTATCAATTAACTTCATCACTAATTCCTCTTTAATATATATTGACTAATTTTGCATTTGCTTTAACATAGACGAATTTTATTTAGTTTTTCGATAACAAGTTTAAATTGTTAATTAGCACCATAAGAAACACTACCAACCACAAAAAAATTGGAATAACACATTAAGAAAGCTCAATGCACAAATCATTTACAACCAAATTGATTTGCTCCGGGTATGGTAATTAATCAAAATTTGAAGGACGAGTATAAAACTTTTGTTTTTCAAATATTGAAATACTTATTTATGAGAATGTAATAATTGTGAAAAAATAAAGTTAATTTTTTGGAATAATATAGAATTCTCTAGAATGTCCTAGTTTAGTATCTTTGATATTTATTTAGTGGACATATCTAGATGTTCTAGAATATTGTGGGAAGATAAGACATATCTAGATATTCTAGAGTGTCGTTAGAAGATAAGGTTGCTAGAATCTTCTTTGTACATTATCTAGAATCATCCCTAGTATAAATAGGGGGTATCTTGTTTATTTGTAAGCAAACCAAAATCAAGAAACCCTTCTTTTCTAAATAAGTTCTCCTATTTAAAATCTCTATTAACAATCTTGGGCTAGCAGAAGGTCTCCGAATAATACTTTCCTTCTGCTATTTTTTACAATAATTTCTATTCTGACACTAACTAAGACAAGAGTTGGAAAATAATGAAATTTATATAGACAAATAAAAAATATTACGCTTACATTTTCAGAAAAATAACAAAACGAGTTGTGTTAAGCTGCAACATTAATATATGGTCTACAGTCGCCACGACCATTTTTCTTTTAAGAAAACACAAAATAATAAAATTAATAAATTAATGATATTCACGAATCACGCAATTGACAAAAACAGATTGACACACCCAAATAAGAAATCAATTTCCGGTCCACAAGAAGAAGAAAAGGAAAAACAAGACAGGAAGCGAGAAACTCAAGAGAAAGCAATCAAACTGGATTTTTATGAAATTCACAACAAAAGAAAATCAATCATCAGTTTGATTATATACTTTTTCAGTTGCTGAATTTGAGTTCGTTGATTGAAGGTTTTTCAATAAAGATAAAAAGAGATGCAATCAGCTATGTTATTGAATCCTCCATCTACCTGTTCTTCATACCCTTCTAGAAGCTTCCAAACCCTAGAATCTTCATCTTCCTCATGCTCTCCTTCTTCTTCTACCACCACTCTCTTTCTTCCTCCTCCTCCTCTTCTCAAGGTATGCCCTTTTTTTTTGCTTCTTATTGTAAATCTCTTGTTTTACTGTCAATTTCTGTCCTTTTCGATTCTCTTAATTATCTGCTTTTGTTTTGCAGATTTCCGGCTTCTTTGGAACTCGATTTTCCGTGTTGACGAGGCGTAATGCGTCATCGCGTGCCGTCCGTAGTGCTTCACGGCAGCAAGGTGTGATTTCTGTTTCCGTTTACCTTGTCGTTTTCTGTTGTATTACCTTAATGAATACAATTTTTTTTTTAATTTAGGAATTTCATAACAAGTCAAATTGATTTAGCTTTAATCAATAATTTGGTACATATTTAGTTTGTTACCTTTTTTTAGTTGGGAATTGTGCTTAAATCAGTTTTGTGATAAGAACCAGCTCCACAAAGAAATTCATTTATTTAGCGAATTTGGTTTATTTTATTTTATTGAAAATTATTAGCTTGTACTCGAAGTCAAATCATATGGATATGGGGCCTATTGAGCTTGTTACCTCTTTTAATCGGAAATTTTGCTTAAATCAGTTACATGGTCAGAACCAATACGTTAAAAGATTTTAGCTTTTTTATTTGGCAAATAACCAACTGTTATTTTATTGAAATCGATTAGTTTGTAATGAATTTTCCGATAATCACTTATTTAGATTATCAGAAAAGTCTCGGAAATCAAAAGGCCCTAAAGTTATCTTTTCTATTTGATATATGCAGATAGGATACCACGGGTTCCTTATTAGCTTTGTGTGTTGGTTTTTAAGCTTAGATCGCAATGTTTCTGTTCTTAGTTCGATGACATAGACGTACTAAGTGCTGTCGGTAGTAGTTTCCGCGTTGCTAATAAATATTTATCGGCTTTATGTTGATCTGAAATGATTTGCTTGTTGGCTCTTGGTGCAGTTGTAAAGGCTGTTGCAACTCCAAATTCAGCAGTAGAAGAGTTACCACTTACTGCAGAAAACATTGAGAGTGTGCTGGATGAAATTCGACCATATCTGATTGCAGATGGAGGAAATGTTGCATTGCACAAAATTGATGGCAATGTTGTTAAGCTAAAACTACAAGGAGCTTGTGGCTCCTGTCCAAGTTCTGTCACGACGATGAAATTGGGAATTGAGCGTCGTTTGATGGAAAAGATCCCAGAAATTGTTGCTGTTGAAGCAGTACCAGATGAAGAAACTGGCCTTGAGCTTAACGAAGAAAACATAGAGAAGGTAGATGCTTCTCTCTGTTATTTATATGTTGCACATACAACTGGGACAGTCCTTCCAAACCTGTAAACTTGAACTAGATGATCTTCAACACATTGTGGACAAATTAAGTCATGTTCTAAATTACTTTGTCCGTTCGTCGTCATCCAAAGAGATATTGGATTCTATGGTTTCTCAACCAGTTAAAGTTAGTTATCATGCATAGGTATGTAGCTCATAAGAAAAACATGCCATTTTACTTTCAAAGTTGGTTGATCCAGCTAAATTCCCTTCCTTGATAGGCTGACCATGTGCTTGAGTCTCCTGTATTAGTGCCAAGACCTGACCATACTACTCCGTGGTTAGTCTAGGGCTGCTGCATAAGATTGATTGTGTTCATTTTTCTTTAATTTGGCCACAGAAGCCTTCACCCGAACATGCAGCTACCTTTTTTCCTCTATTAGACTTGAAGTTTGGTTTATATCCATACAACTTGAAAAACCTATCAATACTGTGCCAGTCTTCTTGCAATAGCTGCAATCAGCAATGGCATTTGTTATTATTGATCTCTAACATGAAATCCAGCATTGAAAGAGGCATTGCGTCAGGCTGACCCAGTCATGAATCGAATAGTAGGTTGTATTTCCATTTACTTCTCGTCCAGAATGAACAGTGGAAGGCAAATGTGACGTGATTAAATTGTTGCTTCTGACTCCAATATAAGATTTATCCAGACACACAAGTAATTGCATGTCATTTATTTTGTTTGAGAAGCTTAAGATTAGTATTCGTTAATTCTGCATGATTTTCATTGATAATATTTGGATGATGGAGTTGCCCGTGGAGCTTTGATGTAGTGGTAAGAGCGCAACACGTGATGTCTGGGTAGGCGCATGTCACGGGTTCAAAGCTGCCACAGTCAAAGACCTGGCATTTAAGTGGACAAGGGTAGAAGAGCGTGCCCCTTATCCACTGAGTTTTAAACCGTGCCCACTGGCCATCGGTGATTTCTCGGTTTATTAAAAAAATAATGGAGTTGAAAGAGCAATCTGTGATTCATAGGTACTGCATGATTTTCTTAATGTGTACCTCTGTACCTATATGTGGCACAGGATAGAAACTACAGTCATAATAAATGCTTGTTCGTCTTGTCTGTGAGTGAGAAGCAGTATTTATGGCATCTTCATGTTCACGATGTCATCTTAGATTCATTTAGCACTTCAGCAGCTATACTCATTGCTCAAATTGTCAGTAGCTCTGATCAATATAGAAAATGTGTGTTCAATTGCTATGCTTGTTTTTTTGTTTTTTCCTGCAGATCTTGCTTTATTGATTTTTATTTGTAACTATTAGGTTCTTGAAGAGATAAGGCCGTATCTCGTTGGGGCAGCTGGTGGAAGTTTGGAACTTGTGGCAATTGAGGAGCCAATAGTTAAAGTTCGAATCACAGGTCCTGCAGCTGGTGTAATGACTGTTCGTGTGGCTGTAACTCAGAAACTGAGGGAAAAGATCCCAGCAATTGCGGCAGTTCAACTCTTACAGTAGAAGTGTTTGCACAGCTATCTTTTAGTGGTGCGTCTGTGTCATAAGCAGACTAAATAGGAGCATGATTGGCTCAGTTAGCGTGAAGCCTTCATCATATACTATACTGCCTATGTACCAAAAAAGGAAATAGTAAGCTCTACTTTGTACAGTTGCGCTGCATTTTAATTTTTCAGTCTGTATGTTCTATATTGTAATATTTGGATATGGCACCCCGGAGAGGGAATTGCAATACCCAGTTTGTGGATCAAGATGACCCTGACGATTTGAGATGTCAAACACGGAATGTCTAGGATTTTGGGATCCGAACAACAGTTTAGATAATCAAAAGAGAGGTGAATTTATATTGATGATTCAATCCTTCTGCAGCAATAGAACTGAAAGAATACTCCTATTACACGTATCATAACTACATGACCATAACTAATTTGGCTAACCTTCACATTACCTAGTAATATATATCAGTTATACGTGCGCTTTGGCTCTTTGCAAATTTTTTATCACTTGCTACCTCGCCGTTTTGCCGGTTTTTGTTAGTCTGTTATGTTTGGGGCGGTGGGCATCTTGTAGTGTTAGGTATATAAGACTTTTTTTTTTGATTGGTTGTGAAATTGCGATCTCTTTACTGTGATTTTTGGGAGTGGTGTCTTCTTAGATTTCTATACTTTAGTAAAATATGCCTGAGCTCACTATATTTTCAAGTGTTTTGCGTAGTCTATGCAAAACCTTGACGGTTTAAGCTAAATATCTCATCTCTCTGATAACCTGAGCTCTTGGATAAATCAATTGGTCACCAACAAATTTTAAGGTTTAACCACCACCAAGAGTAATAGTTTGGATAATGTTTATATGTACATAGTGCAAATACCAAAAGATCAATCAAAATACCAGCACTAAAATCTGGAAAGTATATCACTCAACAAACCATCTTGAACTGTTAAAAAGAGTTAGTTCATTATTCTAGTCAAACAGGTTAGAAAATGTCCAACCAACTACCAATTACTATTTTGGAAGAGGTAATCACCAAAAAGTTTCACTGTATCAGGTCAAATAACATTCCAAAACAGGCCAAGAACAGTGGAGATTACTATTAAGATCCACTGTAAAATTTCCAATAGTACCGAAATAGCATTTCTTCCATGCATAAATGACAAGTACAATTAAAAAAAATGTGAATATGTGATAACTCAGCTTAAAGTATAGAATAATGGGGCTCTGTTGTGCTCTCACTACTTCGCCAAGATGCCCTGTAAAGCTCTAGGGAAAATGATGATATGAAAATAACTTGGACCAAGTTTTCCTCTCATTAGAAAGCCTGCTAAGGGGAATCTGTATCGAAACACACCCACTCGAGAGAGGTGGCCACCATGATAATACGAACAAAACTGTGCCAAATTCTCTAGTCTCTATATGTGGAATCATTGTTCCCAATCCTACCTGAGAAAGAACACGAGGTGGCTTGAGATGCTCCTAATAAACCTTTAACCTCCCTTCTCCCAAGCAGGCAACTTCCCAAATTTCCTCACAGCAATGTATACAGTGCAATGTACTGTCATGCTCTTCTCAGATTAACGAATCCACTTTGGAGTAATCTTCTTAATGGCAGTAGAGCTTGATCACAGAGTCAGCACCTGCAGTAAACAACCATGGTTGCCTAGGATGGAACTTGCAGTCCATGACACCTGAAGACAGTTGCAATCAAGAAATGTTAACAAAGTGGTAGCATGTGTTGTAGACCACTACCATCAACATAATAAGCCATCTATAAGAATGAAATCCACTTTTTCTTTGGTATAGCTGCATTGGAGATAAACTGAAGACTCAAGACCCAACTAGCTTTGGCTAATAATAATCCATCTATTTGGCTTTGTTTTACAGATGATATTGAAATTAGATCTGCCTATCTGGCGATTTTCATCACAGATTAGTTTAACTTCCAAAACACCTTGGGGATCCTTTAATTCAAATCTCAACTCCATCAACCTTAAGTGAAATACCAGGATGTCCATGATTGAGTTGTACCATTCTGTTGCCAGCTGTCTTATTCTGTATCAACATTAGCTGTTTCTCTAGATGCCTCTATGGCCTTAGTGCAAAATATTTACCTCAAAAGGGCCCTCTTGTCTGATGTTAAGCTCTAACCAGACAAAAGTTCCTAATACACTATTATATTGGCAAACATATTGTATCAAAATGCATTCGAGGGTAAATAAAACCTAAAGAGCACTAATTGCTGCAGCTTCATCAGATTAACACTTCTTTCTTCCAGTGTAAGATGGGATGGCGATTGGGGACTAAACTAGAATCGTCATATGATGGGAAAAAAAGGGTAATAAGGTCATACCTCTTCCATTTTCACTGGCATGACCACGAAGAATCTCCAGAGGTACAATCAACGGATTCTGGTTTAGATCTGAATAAACCATGCCATGGAAAACGTATGCAGTACAATCATCAGAAGACGAAGCAAACAAAGGATAGGAGCGATGAAAGGCCACTTTGTTGATGTCCTTCGGATGACAACTGTAACATGGAACAACCTCCATATAAGGGCAGTTATGGATCAACTAGAGCAATGAATGAATAGACTAACCAATCACACTTGCAGAGAATTAGAGAAGAGTAAGTGAATATTTTCATATAACACATCTAATGCCTGCAACCTCCTTTTATTTTAATGACCGAGAAATCTGGGGCCAATCCTTAGGATCAACCGCAGCTTTCGAAACTGGGAGATAACTGGCCTGCCCTTCTCCACTTAAATATCAGCCTTAGTTTGCATTGCGCAGGGCTCGAACCTGTGACCTAAGTCACAAGTCTCTTAATCTTTTCCACTTGAACTAAGCCCTGGAGGCATCTAATGCTTGCAACTTAACTCAAACAAGATCCTACCCCCAAGCATATCAGATTAAGATAGCAGAAATGCAAATTATGTGCACCAGTTAACATGTGTCAGCACAAAACACAAATCCACAACAGGCAAACATTAGTTCACTAGACTGATTTCATAAAAGCAACATTAGATATGTCCAGAACTTTCAAAATGACAAATCCGTTGCAAGTACATACTTGAGAACTCTGTAAGGCTGAGATGAAAGGTAAATGTCAAACAACCACACACCAAATTAGCATAAAGGCAAAACCGTGTGTTGCTGTGTGCACAATTTAACATGTGTCAGGCTGTCAGCACAAAACTTGAATGCACAATAGGCGCATGCTTTAATTCACCAGACAGAGTACATAAGAAAACCAATAAGATATGTCCAGAAGAGCTTTTCAAAATTTAAAAATATCAATTGCAAGGACATACTTGAGAACTCTGTACGGTTGAGATGAAAGGTCCATGTCAAACCAGCACAGTTTTCCATCTCTACTCCCTACAATAAGATTGTCACCTGCACACATAGTTTAAAAAGCTTATTAACAAGTTGAGTACCGTAACTAACAGTCAGGATTATCAAAAGAGCATCCACATACCACCAGGATGAATAGCAATAGACGAGACTTCACGAACACCAGTCTCTAGCTTCTTAATGAGCTTTTGATTCAAGAGATCATAAACACGAATATTTTTCTTCGTTGAAATAAAGAAGGCAGAGCGAGAAGGATGGAAAGCAGTTGAAACTGGAAGTCCATGAAGCTTGAATGGTATTCTTTGAGTCTGTTTCTTTGAGAGCAGGTGAATCAAAACTGCTTTTGATTGGCGTAGGCAAGAGTCAAGGAATGACATCAATCAACCAACTACAGTCTCAAAGTTTCACGTTAATGAGGCAATAAACACACACAAACACCATCCCACCCTGATCTTTCTGTTTCCGCATCTCTTCTATTCCAAACAAACAGAACAGTTCACTTTAAAAAATGAAAGAAGACAGCCCTCACAGATATGCTAAGGATGATTTGCCAAAACATTAACAAGGCATGCAAGTTAGTACCACCACTAGAACTTACAAATTCATATAGCACCAACAGAGTATGCTATATTTTTCACATCAGATGACTATAAAAAGTTTAGTTTTTATCAGACACTACAACACATCAAGACATGGGCAGGAGTGGTGAAGACTGGCATTCAAGTTAGAAGATCAGGCCAATAATGTAAATCAGATGAAGGATATCAGAGGGCATAAGAGTTGAGAAATAGTCGCCCTTCCGATGCCACTCAACTGAAGAAACAGTCTGCATAGACAAAAACATTTGAGCTACACAGGAGGATTTCATAGTAATCATCACTTTAATACCTGAGCCATCACAAAGATCCAATGGGGAACACGAAAGGTACCTTAAAGTGCTTCAACCTGATTCCTCCATTCTTATCATCTTGAACCCAATTCACATTGGTTTTATCATGATCTAAGGAAAACAATTAAGAGTGAGGCAACATAATGAGTAATGAACCTCAAATAAATTCCAGCTTCTTCAAATGAAACTGACCAGAGTCATCCGCTGATGGTGTTTCAACACTCAAAAGCTCTTCAAGACTATTCTGTTCTTCTGCATTGCCTAGTCCACTGTTCAAAAGATATACATCTTCTCCCCTGCAATATTTATGTGATAGCAATTTAAGATCTGTATCAATGTTATCTACAATAATCATAAGCTCCAGTAAATCACTTACATGCAGACTGCCAATATAGGACGTTCAGGCATAGGATTCCACGAAACATGCCGGACGGATTCCCCCAGCTCCCAGATCCTTATACACCTTCCAGTTTCAACCTCCCAAATGCGCACTGTCCCATCGCTTGAACCTTCACATGTACGAATCAAAAATACCTAAGCACTTCAATCACAGTATTTACCAACAAAGACGCATAACATTCCAGGACTAAAGACCATACCAGAAGCAATCCACTGCCCAGTAGAGTCCGTAGAAATTGACACAACTGGACCTTTATGACCTTTGTACTCCAGATAACACGACGTTGGATAAGGTCTGAGATCCTTGCGACTTGGCAACTTGGGCTTTAAAGACTCGGGATCGATATTAATCTGCAAAAGAAAGAGAGATTTATTGCGGAAGAGACCAGATGATAGTCTGACCCAGTTAAACAATAGCAAGACAAAATGAAGGGAGAAGGGATCAAATCATTCACGTACACGTTTTTTCCGAACTCTTGCACATAAATAAAGATCCATACAGCGTTCAAAATTTTCCTTGACAGCTTTCTCATAGGCTGGAACATTTCTCAGCGATGTGAACCTAAAGCAGTGACAAGCTTAGCATGAAGATATTAAAAATTATAACAGCTGTACAGAGTACACTATAAAACAATCAAATAAGCCTAATACCGTTTCGGGATGAACTTTGGTCGGTCTTCCTCAAACATAAGCTGATATGAGT